AAAAGTCTCCATATTTCTTCTTCTTCTTTGCAGTAGCTCAAAGAAGATAGATTTCATTTTTATCTCAGCCCCAACAGAGTCTTATTTCTAAAACACTGCCACCAAAACTTCRCATGCTCAGGTACAAACAGGCCACTCTCCACTTTTAGAGGCTGGGATTTGATTCATGCTGTTCCTTAGGCAATTTGGGCTGTRKGATGCTAATTCTCACCTCAGAGACSAAAGGAGRAGGCTTTTTAGGCACAGTACAAACCTCCACTTGTCCAGTAAAGTGTGAGGACTCACGGAGATGCAAGCAATCTTAGTTCTCCTAGTAACTCTTTAAAATAGCTAAAGCAGAAAAAGGCCAAACAGTCTGCACATCCAAATACCTACAACCCAAAGCAGTGCAAGACCTCGCTGGGATGTGCCCAAAGGATGCCTTAGAGCAACATGGTCCACGCTCTCACAGCGCCTGTAAACACCACTATGGCAGAATCCTAACCACATCTGGGAGCTGTAATGAAGAGCAGGGAATGGTTTCAGTGCCTCATCTGTGATTGTCTGGAATAGAGAAACCCATTCACAACCAGCAGGTGCAGCTCTGCAGACTCAGCTCTGTCACTCCAGCATTTTTAACCAGTCTGATGATGCCAATTTTTCACCCATGGGGATTAAGAAGTATTTCTTTACTGWAAAGAGGAGAATATAGCCACATTCTCAAGTGGAGGAAGCCACTATTGGATCATGTGCTCAGGCAGATCTCTCCCAGAGTTCATCCAGTGCAAAAAGGGAAGGATATTTGTAGGCAAAGAAAGCGTTCAGCCCCTTAAGCAGAGCAGGGAAGCCAGCTCTCCTGTAGGAAACATTCTGTGCTGCTGCAGGTATCGTACTCACCAGAGTTTCTTGGTATCGGAACGCTTTCGTTGGAGAGGCATCCCCAGTCATATCCCCAGAGACAACGTCCTGTGGAGTAGGGGTTGTTCAGGGCAATGTCTTCCTGTCTGCCCCCCACAGCAAAATCATGGAGTGAAACAGGCGCAAGGATTCAGCTAAAATCCCTCAGAGCACCCTGAGAGAGAAGGTTACTGGTGAGGGAAAGACAGAGAGGGAGAGTGTAACCAGAGACTCCCTGCCCCCTCCTGTTCTGTCTGCTCCCCTGCTTTAATCTCTCTCTGCTGTCCTGGCAATGGGACAGCTCAGTAAATTAACAGGAGGTAACGTTTCCTCCTCCTCTCTCAGGAAGTGTCATTCTTCACTCCGTTTGGGGGACCACAGAAAGCATGGGTACTGATGGCAGAGAGACACTAAGGAAGAAAAGAGTGGAAAGGACAAATTACCAGAATTAGAGACAAGAGAACCRTCCTGCAACCTGAGGAGGATTACCCCCACAACCTGTGAAGTGTAAGTATCTGAGAAGGCAAGTTCGCCTAGCAGGCCTTGGAAGACTATTCCTCATATGAATTACTTTTATGCTGTCCTCACATTTAAAATAATTTTTCTTCAAGCATGCCCATTATTGCTGGTTACCTCAGCACAAATAAACAGCCTTGCTCACAGTCTTGGTACCTTCATGAACCTTCATCCACTGGCATAACTAACATTCAGTATCTTTTCCATCCAGAACCACAGAAAGGTTGATGTTGGAAGGGAGCTCTGAAAGTCACCTGGCCCAATTTCCCTGCTCAACCAGGGCCTTCTAGAGCCAGCTGCTCAGGGGCATGTCCAGATGGCTTTTGAGCATCTCCAAGCATGGAGACTCTGCAACCTCACTGGGCAACTTCCTCCAGTTCTCAGACACCCTCATAGTAAAAAAGTGTTTCCTAATGATCCCTTCTGGGTTTCAGCTTGTTCCTCAACCAAATTTCTCATACCTAAAACCAGTTAAAGCTGCTCAACAGCACAGTCAGGAAGGGTTTCTGGGTTGTGGAAGATCCTGGGACATCTGTAGGGGTGCAAAGTAGGGAGGTCCTGCCTCCTGCCCTTCTGTGTGTCCTGGATCATTGCCACAAGAAAAGCAAGGAGGAACTAATAGTGTGSAAAGGACAAAATCAGGGTGCTGCTRTGGGCTAGTGCCTTGAGAAACAGAGCACTGAGCAGCTGTGGTAACAGCTACATCCTCAGCTGAGTCACAGCTACTGTCTGCTGTACCCTGAGGCAACAGCAAGCACAGAAGTTTGTGGGGAATGCAGCAGATAATATAGGCCACAGTTCTTTGCACAGACAACTGCTCTTTTTAAAAAAAATTCATCTGCTATCTGTAAAGCTTTTCATTTAGGGAAAAAGAAAATTTCAGTATCTAGGAAAGCAGTTACTTAGAGCAACATAATGACTTTCTAAGCTGTTTCTCCCACTAAATAAAAATGAGTTACGTAAGAGCATGTGAAAGGTGAAAGTATCGCCTTTATTAAGGTTACCCAGTCAAGGAGCTTTTTGAATGCAGAAGATGAGAAGCCCCAAACAGAAATACACAGAACCCAGAACTCGGAGACAATGGGGAACAGAGATCACACCAAAGACCGACTGTCTACAGTCTCAGCATCAGCAGGTGGAGCAGCCACAGCTGGATCATCTCAACAGGTGCCCTGAATGCTACAGGTCAGACCAGAGTGAGGGGACTTGGCTCTTGTCATTGGAGTCACACCAGGACTGTTGGCACCCCAKGTTTGTGGCCTTAGCAACAGGAGTGCAGGAGTGTCCGCTCCAGCCTCTAGGATGGGACCAGCACATGTCCTGGGTGCAGCTGGTAAGGCATGAGCCCAGGATTTCTGGTCTGGGCTGGGCAAGAAGCCAGATTTGCAAGAGGTAGTGGCAATTAAAAAAAACTCCTTAACTGCTTACTCCTGTGTGAATCCATTTAGAAAATTTAAGTCTATGTTCAGTGTGACCTTTTCCTTTCACCCTTTGTGTCACTTTACAAATGACTGAATACCARCAACCAGTAAGTTTGTGTTTACCACCCGTACCTAACAAATCCAAATCCAAGTATTTTATCAGTTTTATCAGTGTGAACCTTACCTTTGTCAAAGCATGGTTTCTATGGGAGGTGTTACTGTTCCTCCTTATTTTGCAGCTGCAAATGAAAACTTTTAGGAGAGTCAAAGGAAAATACAAATATTTTAAAAAATCAGCCTGAACCGCAGCAATTACAGCTACTTTTCCAAGTCAGAGAAATCTGAGTGGCACTCTGAGCTCTTTGAAAGATGTAGTAAATCACACAGATGTCGTCTTAAGAATTTGTGCATGCAGGCAAAATAGTTTATGCAAAAATACAGTCTGAAGACCAAGTTATACATAGCAGTTACCATAAACAAGTACYAAATGCAGATGAATGGAAACAAAAGAATATCAAACTCCAACAAAAAGAATTCTATGAGAAGTGGCAAAATCAGCAACAGCAGGTCAAATTGCACTGAGTAGGACAYAGCACTTATTCCTAGTGAAACACCCACCAAGGCTGCTGATCCTGTGACAACAGTTGATTGCAACTTCTCTGGAGATTTCCATTTCATTCCCTTCCTTTTAAAGAAACTGTTCTCTGTATGCATATGCTGATGACATAATCTATTACATAACAGTATCTTCTTGCATTTCCTTCTCCTAACTTAATAATTTAGTGTTGCCATGTAGTGAAGAATTCTCAYACCCTGAAGGGCAAGAACAAATTATACAACACAGGTACAGTGAATRTTAGGAGTCTCAGCTTGGCATAACTTTTATTTTATAAGATGTTTTATAGMTGTTTAGCCAAACCTTTTGATGTTTTGGAAACATATACTCTCTTTCAGTACCATTCTGTATATCCTMATTCTTAAAGGGAGCAGTAACTATGTCACAAAATCAAATCCTTTGACTATCTATTCAGCAATCACAAATAGGGAAACCAAACCAGTTTAGAATTAAAATTGTATTAATTARCTGTATTGTTCTGTTAATAAATGATTTTCATGCAACTCAACATTTTTAAAATACCTTGTCTACATTGGGTTCACTGTTTCCATTCCCCATCTCAAATAAAACCTTTCACCTTATTCTTCTGATTTCCAGACAAAATATGAACCAGTCAACATTGCTCTGCTATCCCAGGTATTAAAAGTAATTCCTCAAACTATGCTAGTACCTTAAAACTTACCTATGAAAATACAAACATCTTGTTTACTTCCTCCTCTATACTAGAATCACTTTTTGTRCAGGCAGATGCTGGTAACTCCAGTGCTAATATCAATACTAGATTTCCCTTATCAGAATTTGGTATTTTTATTAAATCAATGTACCCTTTCACCAGAAAGGTCTCAGAAGAGAGGAAGCACTCTTCTAGATGCCACTGAAGAAACAGGGTAAATGGCAACCTCTAGTGGATCTGGATAGTGGGGATTATTTCTATAACTAGCAAGAACAGAGCTTCTACCTTCCTATTTCACACTCATCGACTTTCTCCCAGATGCATTACTTTGATCTCARCTTCCCTGCCCAGCAGGAAGATCATGGCTCGATTGTGAAGGTGGAACAGAAAGTTCTGCTGGTTCTGTGTTATACAGCTGCTCCCACTTAAAARTCTCCAGCATTCCCTGGTATTCATTCCCATGCAGCTCTCTGATCCCCTGGACCTTCCTCCACTTCCAGAATTCTTCCGACAGGTGGTATCTTCACTTTCCTTTCAGTCTCTTCCTCCTTCCAACTCTTTTTYCCAGGAACCCTTCATTTTGACACCAAGTTTCCCTTCAAGAACACCAAGCCCAAAATTTTCCTGTATTTCATGTGCTGAAGCACATCAGCCTTTTACTTGGTGGTTCTGCCTCATATCTCTTTATTAATACATCAGTCTTTGTTTGGCCCAAGTGTAATGAAAATTTACAAACAGCTCATAGTGGTTGCAGCTGTAAATACCAGGCTTCTGCCTGAGAGTTCAAAAGCCCCTCTGAGATGTGCTATCTATCTCAAGAAACTACATAAAATTCTCTTTATATAGAACCTCCCTTTCTGCACAGGGATCTAACTCCCCAAATGGAAGACACTGCACAGATTAATCAAACAAAAATTCTTTATTTTGACACCTCAAGGCAGTAAAATACAAGTATTCAAAAAGATATACAAAAGTGGCAGTGACAATGCAACTTGATGCAATCCTACAGAAATTTAATCCATCAGAATGGACCACTTCATCAATAAATGTCTCTGTAAAATATTGCACCATTTAGTAGAGGGAGCACTCAGGAAGACAGTGTTTATACTCCAGAGAGGTACAGGAGCTCCTAAACTGGTATATTAAASTTCAGAGTAAGGCACCAATTGGCAAGTATGATTCTTGTTCTGTTTATCACATTGTGTGTASAATAAATGCAAGATAAATGTTAGTGCTGCACCTTTGTCAGCTGGAGGAAACACAGCCTTCATTTTCCTAGGCAGAAAAATGAAAAGAGCACATGCCTAGTTTTCCAGCCTCCCTCCATATCCCTTTGTGCTTCCTATTCATAATTCTATCCTGAAAAATTTATTTTAAAAGCCATACTTACATTAAAAAAGCCAGGAACAATGGCAGCTTAATGCTACAAAATGGAGATTGAGACTCAAGTGAGCAGCCWGTAGTCCATACACAATCCAGTATCTCAGGATTTAGGCTCTACCACAAAAAGAGAACAGTGCCCATCTCCCACRTCACATCAAATGGGAGTAACTGCAATTGGACACAGCAAGACACAAATTACAGCATGAAGAGGCTGTGCAGGACATTTCCAAAAGAAGGGGTAGATTTTGCTTTTCAATGATCACAACTTAAAAAAGAAAACTCACAGAACAGGATAATAATGTAAAATGCTCCCTCTCACTTAAAAGGGAAAAAAAACCTGCAGTGATAAATAATCCAAGCAACATGCTTAGACCGTAAAGAGCTGCCTTGAATATTTTTGTGAATTAAAAAGACAAAAGATCCTTTTGTACAAGACCRTRGAGTTTCAGGGCTTCAGTTGTACAGTGCAATTTATAGACTCCTGAGAAGCTGGTGCACTGAATGTCTAYTGTGACACGTAAATACTACAGCAAACAAATTCCTCAAAAGGAATATTCCATGMAGTTGCTCAGTCTTGGGAATGGTTAAGGGGAGCTAATCTAGAGTTTCTAGATTCAAAATTATTTCTGGGGCTGTTTATGGAGGCATGTTTGTCTGGGTCTCTATATGTTTTGCTGATAATCTGGGATGTCTTATATTTCTCTTGGTAACTTGGCTATAGAAGGAATGTAGAAAAATAGACTTCTAAGTGATCAAAATGGGAAGTGTTGAGTATGGAGAACAATAATCTTCCATTTTAGAGAGGGGGAGGATTCTCCTTCACAAGGGAGCYCTTTTCTAATGTGCACAGGAATTGACTGTCCTGTATGAAGAACCATGCAGAAAATACTTAAAATTTTTAATGTACAAGTAGCATTTTTGACTGATTTCCTAGTAGTCCATTTCCACTTTCATATTCACTTTGTTTACAAACGTCCTTATGCYTCCTTCCAAAGGATGTTCCCACTTCTTTCCAGTTCTAATGCTGATCCTCTTTCCATTAATTTCTACACATACAGAGCCAATCAGGATATCAGAATTTTAAACCCTGAACTGAATCAGATTACAAGGAGAGTTGCCAGTTTATTTTGGAAAAAGACATGAAGAATTAGACTGGCATTCCTTGCTTGCACATCTGATGTYGCAGCTCACAAGAGTGAAAACAGATATCCACAGTCAAAAGTTCAGCTTTGGCRGTATCTCTCTTCAAAGAGAGCTGGCAAGGTTATTTTCCTGGTAGATAGCCAGGAAACAGGTAAAGGTCCCGACAGAGTGTGCTACAATATTCTGACATTTCCTTGCAGCGATGAAATTCTGTGCCTGGGGCATAACCTTCTCGTTGCTTGATTAGCCTATTAACCTAGATGTGAGATTAAAAAAACAAAATAACTGGAAGGATTAAAACAACAGAAGGAAGAAAAATGTAATTTCTTTCTGTACTCACAGATTATTCTGTTTAATGCATTAAGTAATCACCTAATTATAAGAAGGAAAAAGAACTATGGGGCAGCTCCACAGCAGCTCAAGTTGCTGTGGTCACACTGCTTTTTTTCACTCCTTCTTCCTTCATTTTTGCAAACTTTACCTTACATGAGTACTAGTGCTTTTGGAGTTGTGTGGTGTGCATGTTCAGGGAAYGAATTCACTGAAAAAAAGAGCTATTTCTATAGAAGAAAACTAATTCTTGGCAAGACATATTAACTCTTCTTGCACATTCACCATGGGACCACACAAAGGAAACAGGAGTCAAAGAAACAGMATCTTTAGTTGGGTTAAACCGTTATTGAACTGCATATAAGTAAATAAATGAGAATGGGGAAAAATTATAATTTTGCTAGTGCTTTAGCAGTACTAGATTAATCCTAGCATTTTGAAGCAATGGAAGGCCCCTCAAAAAACAGGCATAAGTGGGAGAGTAAATGCACTTCTGCTTTACCTTCACCAGCATGTCAGCCACGTGAGTGTGTCGCGAGTCCTCTGCAAACACGGAGGTGAGAGCCTCGACGTACCAGGACCCACGCTTGGTGTTCCGCATGGCCGCAGTGCCTGGCGAGAGAGAGTCTACCATGAAGGCTTTTGGGGAACACAGATAAGGCCTCCTTATGCCCAACAATCAGGACCTTTACCCAATACCTTTCAGACAAGCGTATCCACAGATCATATCTGAGCACGTCGGCAGACGCAGCTTCAGACTTTCTTCCTTGTTYGCATCGCTTTCCTCACAGCCTGGGGAATCTGACCATCCTTTGCCATCTCTTTGATCCACTCCCCGATCCAACTCATCTGTGGTGGCAATAAACAAGGAGAGGGAGAGAAGAAATTATCCTGAATTACTGGATGTATCTTTCCTGTACGTCCTTAGTTTTGGGCTCTGGTCGGCAATGCCACAACTACGATCAAGCAGAACGCTTTTGCATTAACTTTAAGCTTCTTAAGCTGTTTTAGACTCATCTGAAAATTCTTCTGCACAAATAAATGCAAATACCAATGACTGCTGCACCTGCTTAACCTAACCTGACTTGGTCTGCATGCTGATTTCTGCTCCCATCTCTTCCTGTGCAGATCATGGGACAACTATGAAAGCGGGGAAGTTTCTGGTATTTCTTCACCATTCATGGAAGGATTTGATGCMTAGCCACAGAGTTTTCCACTTGTACCTACCTTAGAAAGATAAAAAAAATATCTAATGCAGTCTGCAATGCTAACTATCTCTTTATTGCAGAACTCCAACAAGAGCTGGAACTTTGGTTGCTAAGGTCTACATCCAATACACCTAGAAAACATAGACCAAGTATCTCACTTAGTTATAAAACCTGATTACAATACTGCTTGTTTCAATTAAAAGTATAAATTGTGCAGCAGAAACATGCAAAATAATCTGACCCCAAACATGAGAGAGAACTCCAGTCCATAGAGATTAGTTTAAGGCCTGGAAAGCATTTAATACCCTTTCCAGGATTCATTAGTATGCATTAAGCAAGTGCAGATATTCTCAACTGGTTGTCTACATAATGCAGAGTTTCCATTATAATCTCAACTAATTGCTTAGGTGGTGGTAACTTTGATAATCCAGCTGTGTTGCAAGAAAATTAAAATTACATTTTACAGATTTTTCATATAATTTTGCTTTTTTGTTTTCTTTTGCTCTAAGATGAGATTCTATAGTACTTCTTGCTTCCTAACAGCACAATCAGAGTCTAGTGTTAGGAGGCTTAAGTGTCCACTCTGGAAGCCTTCTTCTTTATGATAGTTCTCAATTTTTGTTTCTAGTTCATGCCTTAGAAATACATTTGGACTTCTAACCCCCTAATAGGCAGTGGCACTGGTGGCATTTCATAATTATGCTCAGGAAATGGTCAGTTCCTAAACCAGCAACATTGTTCTTTCCCTCTAAAAAGAAAACAGCAGTGGGAGGGGTGTGATTGTCTGATACCGCCTGGAATTAATAGCTCAAAATTTCATGATGACTTTCGAGTTCCTCCCTAATCTCTTTAAGGGAACAATGCAAATTTTTTTAAATTTTTAACCACACATTTATCACACTTTTCTAATCTTTTCAGTTCTCTATCGTCTTAAAAATTTAGTGTAGTGTTCACTGTGCATGTTATTTCAGATAAGACTCAGGTAATTTTACCATCAAGCTCTATTCACACTGTCATTATCCCATTATGTATGAAGTCAAAACTTTTTTGATTAAAGCTTTAGAATTACACATCTTCCTCATGCATTTGTCTTCAAACACCACTCCAACCAATTTAACTAAAATGTGTAAAGCACTAACCCTTTGCATACTTAGCCTCTAATTTATAGAACCACTGCTGGAGATTGATCCACTCTGTTTAAATTGTACTGAAGCTCCCAGACAGCTGATTTGCCAAMTGGTTTAAATAACTGCTAATTAACAATTTGTCATTACTTAGCATGATTTTTCACTCTTTTGGATCTACTACATTAAACACARATATTAAGCAGCTTCAAAGTTTCATTTTATGCCATACTGAAACTTTCCCCATGGTTTTGTGTTGCTACTGGTTTTTGATCCACGACTGTAGGTGGACTACTTCAGTTCTTTAGTAGACTCCTGCCAAAAGTACTTTGGAAATTAAGACTGCATCAACATGTCTTTATCTACATTTTTAAAATGTGTCATTAATAGAAGAGAGAGCAGGSCTATTATGTAAGGTTACGGAAGAAGAATAACTTACGCATTTCTCATCTTGTTTCAACTAGCTCCAGCTAACTTACATGACACAAATAGATTGATTATAATTTCTAAGTTGACAATACTATTTATACTGTCTTTTAAATGCTGTTTAAAGGATACATATTTTTGTTGACAGTTCAATTATTTTGTAACTGGCTTTCCCCTCCAACTATTAATCAAGATTTAAAAGAGGTTAGACCATGCAGGGTTTTGCCTTGTTTTGGGGTTATTTTTGTTTTGTTTTTGCAATTGAGGAAAAAGCTTTTCATTTCAGTTTTGCAAGTATTTCCATCCTTTGTCTATTGCAGTATTTTAGATCTAAACCCTCATGCATAGCAAGCTTTACCACTCTTTCTTAACTGCAATTTTTTTGGGAATACAAAGGCCAAGGTTGACTTCTTAGTCTTAACAGACTTATGGCAACATTACAGTCAAATAAACCTAATTACCTAATGAGGTCAGCTGAAAATTCTGGCTTATTGCACTTATTTCCACATTATGTCCGTGCAATTCACATTTGTTCAAGAGTATCTACATGTTTATTCACATAAGGAAAGCAATCGGATTCAATTCRTACTGTAAACATGTGTGTTACAATGCTCCCAAATGCTTAGAAGGACCAAGTATTTSTGATTGCCAGAATACCTCATGCAAACTTTAGGTTTTCCCCTGCACTGGGYTTAAACAAGAGTAGAGACTAGAGGACAAAATATAAAGCTTGCTAAAACTGAGAAAAAAAGGGACACAACTGTGAGGAACAAGGGAAAAGCAGGGGGAGAAGTATATACGCTAGAAAAAACTTCTCTATCACAAGGGAAAAAAGAAACTGCAAGACATAACTTCACTCAGCAATATCTGCAACTTCACACAGCCCAAACACTTCAGGGAAAAAGTTGGTCATTAGCAGATCTGAAACGTAGTTAGTTACAGATGTGTTCAGTTACAAAAGGAAGGAAAAGGAATAGCAGTTTTTTTTAGAAAGGCACACAAAGCAAAGAAAAAGAGCAAGTCTATAAAATTATGAGAAGAATTCTGTACAACAGCATGTAAGAATTCAACAGTATGTGGAAAAGGATGCAAGAAAAKGTCATTTTGAGGTTGAAAACGGGCTGAAGTAAAAGACAAAACCCCCAAAATAATTGGAACCAACTCTTGACAGCTTAAGAGACAACTACAAGAGACACAACACATCGAGGATCAAGAGAAAATGGGACCTCRGCAAGACTCCAGTGCAGTGTACTGCTCCATGCTGTGCTGCCATTTGTGCACCGTGTACCCCACTCCTCCTACTGCAGGCACAGCACGAAGAGGCCTCAAGGAATGAGTGGGATATGACAGAGCTTTATGTCACTAAGATGCTCTGGGGTCTGCAAGTCAATGCACACACCTCATGCAGAACTAAAGACACTTACAGAGCAACAGATGCAGTGGCAGCAGCAGGGCAGAGGGAGGTGAATATGGGTCCCACTTACACCTGAGAGAAGCAAAGAGGAGAGTTGACAGCAAGTTGGATGTGAGGGTGTGCACGTGTGCAAAATGAGCCTTAATGGCATGCCAAGTACATGGCTTTTAGTGTTTGGGCACTCACCTCCCCGGCAGGCCTGAATAAAGAACATTTTGGGCTTATTCTGGAGATTTGGGCAGTTTGCATTATCAAAGAGCCGGAAAGCCTCCTGCAACTAAGAGAGAGAGGAAATTTCTTCACTGCAGCCTTCTGTAAGCCAAACCCAGTCTCACCTTTCTTCCCTGCATTTTGGTTATTACCTCACCAGTCTTGGTTATTTTCTCCTTTACCTGCAAACTCAGCATGTAGCAAACACTTCCCTTCTCCACTATCTCCTCAGGTTCCTACTTGTTTGGGTTCATGCACTCTACCTAGYATTTATACAGAGATAATTTCCCCTACTTGCCATTTTTCATCTTCCAGACCTCTCACAGACAGCCCCCTGCCCTTTTCTTCCCTCCGGCCCTTATTTTTTCTGTTTCAAAAAATGTGAATCCTCAATCTTTCTTTTTCTTTCTTTAAAACTTTTACTCCCCTCTTTCCATTGTTACTTTCCTAGAGATAACCCACAACAACAGATCAGGGCTCAGCAATATACCTCAAGTAGTTTGCCATCACTGCCATAAACCCCACCCTCCACACCATGGGAAAGCAGAGCTATAATGCAGGAATCCACATCTCGATGATCTTGCAGCTTGGAGAATCTCTCCAATGCATTCTGCATCTCCTAGAACAGGACAAAAAAGGAAAAAAAAACTCAGTATTTTCCAGACTTCCACAGGGAAAGTGAATCAATACTCTGTGAAAAACACAAACAGCCCTCCTGTTACAAAGAAAACCCCTACACACATCAAATTTACATAGAAAAGACGTGTTGTATTAAAAAAAGGCAAAATATTCTTACTCTATTCAGTCCTAATTATAACACTGTGAAGCAAGAATCACTTAGGCCAATAGGAAAAACCAAGTGATATTTTGCAGAGGTTTTACACTGACACTTGAGTCGCAGTSGGATACTGGAGCAACTTAACCTATATACTCTGGGTCTTCAGGTATCCAGACATTAGTGGTCAATTAAAAATTTAAACTTCAGGAATTCTGACAACATGGCAGGTGCAAAACTCTTACATCAATGCTGCAAAAGGTCTGTTCTTGAATAAAACACTYTTCATAACAGGTCCTGTATCACTTGGATTCATAGGGACTTAAAAGGAATAAGAACAAATGATACTGGAGAAGGCAGCAATTGCATTCCTAGGAATAGTGGCTTGATAAGTTAGTCACGGAACACTACCCATTTTCCTAAGTGAAGCAGACACTGTTTTTAGCAAAGACTGAAACAGTGGAACTAAACTGCACAGACAGCAGAAGACTGGTAAAGAGGATGGCAACTGACTTCATCACTGATAGGACAAAAACATCACACCTGCAAAGACTATATCCAATATTCATAAAGTTTAACTTTTAGAAGAGTAGAACACTGGTATCTAGAGTAAACCGRAGGCTATTAACTTGTGCTTTTAACACAGGCCAGGCGTGGTCTCTAAATTCTTGTCCCTTCCACTAGAGTCCGACTAGAGTAGTACCTCTTGTAGTCCTTTGTGATACTCCTTTCCRTTGGAAGAGCCCAGCCTTCCAAGCTTTCCCATATGGATCAGTATGAGAGCAGACATCATCCCATTTAAGACTTATTTTCTATTCCTAASTGATAATTCACATCTTCAAAGCTTAACTACACATACCAAAGGGAACCTCTTAAGACAATTAGGYAACAAACTCATCCATACCAGTTGTGAAGTACTGGGATCACCATCTTACCTGTGCAGTTTGATCATGAAGAACAGTGACTCGATACCCAAGATGTTTAAAAAGCATCTCCAGGGAAGCACAATCCACATCTCCCCCTGAGCGATATTCCAGGTCCTTCTCGGTGTTGAAACGGACATTGCTGAGGATAAGTGCTAAGCCTCGGGGCTCTGATGTCAGCTTGTACGCCTGAGAAGATTTCAAATGGATAAATTTAGACTACACAAGGAAATAATGGTGTGTTAGAATAGAACAGCAATCATTCCACACCATCTTGATATGCCTGCRCTTGCCAGCCTCCACAACTGGCAATTCTACAATACTATTATTAAGTTAGACTGGCTYGCCTTATTCCTCATTTTAAAAGAAACACAGCTTATCCATTTCAAACTGTGGATTAGCTATTCCTAACTTTTTTCCCTTTCCCACCCTCAACCCAGCTGGGCTCCATATATATGTATCACCCCCATCAGAGGAGAACATGATGTAAAGTTCAGCTAACATTTCTTAATTGCTGTAGGGAACAGACAGATGTAAAATAGCACTGAGTATAATTGTAACAGCAARGGGCTGTCAATCATTGATCTTTAAAATTGTGCAACTGGCAAAAGAGGTTAACAGGAAAAGAACTAATGTAAGAAGGGTGTCTTGAAATTAAGATCCCTCTCWGTCCCCACCACTCTAATAACAACAAATCAATAGTAATTCACTTACTAACGCTTCTGTAAGTTGGAAATAAATTTTAATACCAAAGGAGACTATCAAGTAAGTTGCATCCAGGCACAGATGTAAAAGGAGCCTAGTCAAGCGCACACTGGCACTGCTTAATAATCATGTCACCCCCATAGACAGGTCCAAAAAAACCCACAACAAAAAAAAAACAAAAAAAAAGCCAAAAACCCAAACGCAACAAAAACCAACACACAAACTCTGTTTTGCTACACACAGTGCCTCTGACAGAGTGTCTTAACTATTAGACATTGTGCAACACTAATGAAGTGTTTACCCKATGATCAAAGTACTTTTCCTTAAGCCCACCTCACCACAATCTATGCTTCACTAACAGAATAAACAAAAAGACTACATCTGTAACTTCAAACACTGCAAAAAATTAGAAATTCAGGTTGTTCTACCCAGCACAGAATCCTGATCTGGTTCTTAAGCCTAAGGACTCTTTAGGGTACAGYTGGCAATTAAAACAGGCAACTACTAGTTGAAAACAGAGTTCTACTATCTTATAGTCATTTACAGGGTGTGTCATCACACAGAAGATGATGAGGATACAGACAAATAAACTTGAGGCAATAATACTGACAGCTCAAAGAGAGCAATAGAATAGAAGACATTTCACCAAGCTCTTCACGATTAAAAAAACAGAGGCAGAGATTTGTATAGAGTTACAGAATTTCTCAGGATTTCTTGACACTTGTAAATGAGAACCACATCAAATGGAACACGACTGGCAACACCTTTCAGCTACACAAATAGCACAACCCTGATCTGCATCCCAATGAAGCGTTTCAACTCCATTTAAAGTGGCACGTGTTCAGCTGATAGATCCAAACATCTCACATCTCTCACATGTTAAGATTTTCTCTGCCAATGACTTACCAAGTGCTGATGATCAAGATAAAATTCAGGAGTGCAAAACTTCACTGGAGGAATTGAGGGACCATCTCCGTTATCCAAGGAATGTTCCACTGGTTCTGTGCAAAACCAAATATATCAATAATAATAAAAAACTTCAAATACAAACTCTCTGCATTAAAGTAGTAACTTGCAAATTCTGAACTATATTCTCTTATGCATATTTCATACCTCTAAAAATTTTGTTTGATCAGGTACCATTGACACAAAATGAAACACACAACAAGAAAATGAGTACTGCAATGGTATACATTTTTATTTGAATTGACAGCTTTTATTTTTGCTTCTATGTGGTTAGTTTTATCTAAGGCCTAGTAAATTTCATTCTACAGAGTATGAAAACAGAATTCTCATCTAATATTAGATCCTTGTGCTTTGCATTGTTTTGCACAGTATATTCCTACTTTCAGAGTTTGGCTGACAAAATGTTGCTAGAAAATTTCAAACAGAATAGTTCTTCCCTTTCATTAAAGGCCTCCCATGCTGAACATATGCATAAGTGATCAAACAAGACATTTCTAACTTTCATAAAGTACAAAGCCCTTTTCTTTTAATATCTGCCTCTGAACACTTTCCTCTGGATAACAGCAGAAGAGGGGAATGATAATCAACTATTTGCCATTTGCAGACAAACGCTCACTCCTCTGTACCAAAGAAACTGAGCTAATGACATTCACAGTCTCTTCTGAAATCCTTTCTCAGCCTTTTGAGGCTGAAAAAACATATGCTCTAAAAAAATCAGAACAACCCAAYCTAAAATCTTTTCACTTAAATAAGAAGTCTCCAAAAATAAGACACTTATTCTTTAACACCAGAGAGAACTCCTAGTAACCACTATATGGGTAAACCTGTGGTTAAGGAAAATGAGACTCCAGGCATTACCAGAGGCAACACAAAAACCAGCAAACAGGTTAATTCCAACAACTGTTTATTAGACCAATCCCCTGGTCTAAAGTCACAAATGCATTGTTAAGGAAAAGCTGATTTACTGCACTTGAGATAAGCTCAAGTTGGACTCACGTAGCCTTAAACTAATTTTTATAAGWAGGAACTCTAAATTAAGGAGATCTGCCTAAAGTCAGTAGCTTATCACAGCTCTAGTTCAATGAAATTCTATTACAAATCTTCAGCAAAGAAACTCTTTCAAATTTTAGAATTTTACTGACATGTACTGTTTAAGCAATGAAGTGTCCCATAAGAAAAAAAATGAAGCTGACAAGCAACTGGTTCTCTTTGTCTCTTCCCATATGCTATAAATCAGCCTCTCAGATCATAATATAGTCAGTTTACTGTCAAGTTTGTATTCCCAAGATGAGTAAAGTGGTGGCAAGCTTATTTCTAGAATTGAATTAAGAGAATATTAAGAAATTGGAAGGAGTCAACCAGGCAGCAAATCATGTGCAACTCACCAATCCAGCGGGGTCTCTTTGAATTACAGGATTCACTGACAGGATATGGAAGATCTGACTCATGACAGTGTTCAAGCTACAAGACATCAATAAATCCATGAAAAAGAGTAGCATAAAATAGCTTTTTTTTTTCTCTACAGTACAAGCCTGAAGGTATAATGGAAGAAAGGATACATGGCATTTATAAACATATAAAAATGATTGAAWTATTATGGTACACATCCAAAAGAAAATGACAAGACAGCACTTTGTCTCAATGCAAAACTCCTTCTCTTCTTTGCTCATCTCTACTACTATCCAAATCCTCAGTTTATAATCCTTACTATGGGGCAATCCTATCCTTCTTGGTTTTGCAAAAAAATTATCTGGTGATTCCCATATTTTTGTTTGCAGTCAAGATTTCATTGCTTGTATAGTAAAGCAAAATGCAAAACAAAAAAGGGTAGTTTAATTAATTTTACATTTCAGTAAGAGAACATCTGTTCAAAAGTATTTGCTTTCCCTTCCTTTGTACAAAATATGTTTACATCTTTGCCAATGCACTAAGAACATGGAATCTTTGCAAAATTATTCTTTTAGTACAGTACTAACAACTACACATAGTGAAAAGGTGAAAATAAACATAGCAGAAGAAATAAAAGTACCTTTTTCCTTAAGAGTCTATTCAGACAATTGATGAATTTAAACCAAAAAATTCAGAGAAAAAAAAATTTTTGTTTCAATGTTTGGATTGTTAATGAGACATCCATTAAGAACATGTTGGGTGCAAGAACACTGCAGGAACCTTGTACAGTTCAAAAAAAAGAAGTGAAAAATCCTGCATCCAGGGAGGATCAATCCCATGCACCAATATACCTTGGGGGCCATCCAGCTGGAAAGCAGCTTGGTAGAAAAGAACTTYGTGGTGCCAAGTCAAACAGGAGCCAGCAATGTACCCTTGGCACAAAGGCAAATGGTACCCTGGGCTGCATTAGGCAGAATGATGCCAGCAGAAGAGATGAAGGGAGACAATCCCTCATCCCTCAAGGGGAAYTTATCAATGTGCATGAATACCTGAAAGGAGGGTRCAAAGAGGACAGAGTCAGGCTCTTTTCAGTGGTGCCCAGTGACAGACCCAAARGCCACAGGTACAAACACAGGAGGCTCCCTCTGAACATCAGGCAATGCTTTTTCATTGTGAGTGTGCCTGAGCACAGGGGGAGGTTGCTGAGTCTCCATCCTTGGAGATATTCAGAAACCCCCTGGATGCGCCYCTGGAAGACTACTGAAGGTAATACTTGAGCAGGGAAGTTGGAACAGATGACTTCTAGAGGCCCTTTCCAACCTCTACCACCTTGTGATTCTTTATGAAAATTCTCTTTCCAAATTTCTTCCTTAGTGCTTTTCTAAGGCTACAACTTCCAACTTGCAAAACTCCATTTTATCCAGATCCATTTGTGCCCAAACCCAATGTAAAATGCAAGCCATCCATCTTATTTTTTTAAAACTGTGTACCCTTGCAATCTCGTGGCTCATGTTGGACATTGTCTTCAGGATCACTGCCTCCAGATGCTGCTGTTGGGTCTCTCGCAGAGCTTCACAGAAGGCTGAGAAGGCATTAGGGCCTCTCTTGGGCAGCAAATTGAGGAATTCCACATTTCGGTCAAARCTCCCAGACTTGGCCTAAACCCAGAGGGAAAAAAACAAAATCCACTGCCAAYGAATCATGAGAACAACTATTTTTTTTTATTTCAGAAAAATATTCCACCCCTATGCTTAGCTATGCTAGATCCATTATTATACTCTTCCTAGCTGATTTCATTCACACCCCTCTGTTCCTTTTTGCTCAAGGTGGGGAGTATATGACAACACAAGCCCACAATTCATACGTGACCACACCCAGTGATACACCATATTTTCTCCAAAATTTTACTTCCAGTTACCATTGGAACAGTATCTCCTCCTCACTCAATACACCAAGTCCAAAACATGCTTTCACTACTATCCAATAGTTCACAGTCTCATTCAGATAGTCAGATCCTTCAGAAAACTTAAAGTAAAATACTTCTTATATGCAGTCAGTTCCAGAATGGTATTTCATATGTACAGACTAATACGTAGACCAATGAAGCAATACATACCAGTATATGTGCAAAAGTAACCATCTAAAAATGAAACTCATGTTTTTGTAAAACACTGTCAAGAAGTTGTTAGAATATTAATAGGTATTTGCCAAGAAAATGTACAATGTACACAATAATACCCATCCCTCTGAAATCTAAACCACACCAAGACTCACATACCATAATACTGGATATCAGTAATAAATTTATTTGGAATTCATCCTCCATGTTTTTGATTATCACTTAGATCTGAGATCTCTCCTAACAATACAGCAATCACAGGAAAATCAGGGGGAAAAAAAGCCTTCAAGTATATGTGTAAAGCTGATGCCACCGAAGATATCACATTTTGTGAATCAAACCAAATGATGTATCAAGCTCAATGTTAAAAGTAATTTAATTTTTTCTCCATCATATTGTTTGAGCATCCATTGAGAGGATGCTGCAAAATCTTGTGGATCCAATGCTTAAGAACTTATTTAAAATTTCAGATACATATTCATTCATGACTGACCAAGTGCATTTATTCTTGTACCAACAGTGTTCCTTGAATTCAGTCTTCTCCTGTCCTTTCCCTTATTTATCAAAACTTCTTTCTATAAATTGGTCTTGACTTGCTATAGTAAAGAAGTAATTTTTTTTTCATAAATGGCCTCTTTCCCTTAACAGTGTAAGTACCTTCTCTTATTCCCACAGGATTCTGAATTTTCAGAGTTGACTAGAAGCACATTTAGTAATATCTTAACTGCCTCTTCACAGAAGTATGAAGGTACCTTTCTCCAGGTAACACTGCTCTATCAGTCCATCAAAAATAACCAGCTTCATGTATTTGTATTTTTTCCTAAGCTGAGTTTTATTGCAACTAATGAAGTGAATTGAGACTTTATTTCTAAAGTATCAAATGAATTTTTCTTCCTTTCTAGTAGACCTGCAGCTGTTTTGAGACAAGGCCATTCATCTTCTTCACAGTGTATGACTCTAAGCCATAAATGATAGTTAAGAGCTAGTTAACCTGAAGAACTGGAACTTAAGTTTTCTTAAAAAGTTAAGAAATTTCCATAATGCTCATATTCTGCAMTTTGTATGTACAGCAGTCAGCTTTTGGCAGACTTCCTCCTTAATGCTTCCCTTAATACCCAAAGGGCTGTGTCTCCTCATCTAGCTTCCTTTTCAGCACCATGTTTAGGTTACACTAAATCATGTTCAGCAAACATTCAGAAACAAAACTTTCATAAGACACACTTCTTTCATTTTATTTTCCAACACATCTTTATTTTTGTACTCTTACAGATAGATTTTACTATCAGCAAAACAGGAACTGGTTGTAAATAAATTCTGAATTCCTGTCAAAATTCCATATTAGTCTTACTGTGCCTGAATACACCTGCAGAATCTGTGGAAAGAACATATATAATTGGCAAATATCCTAATCAAATTTAATTCACTTGTCAAAACCAGCAATCCCTTCATTACTATCTAGTGATTAGCCATGGTATTTAAATTTCTATACCTATACAATCTCAGTCTTTGATCGTAGTACACAGTATTCAACTTGTTTGAAAAGTAAAAAATCTCTTGCTATCATATCTGCAATTTAGAAAGTCTATCCCAGAGCTCCGGAAGAACATTTGATGCTTCAACAAGTAGGCATTTATGCTAGTAGATTTTGGACCTTGCCTTAAAAACAGCTGTTTCCACTGTCCTACTTTATTTCCACCATAATTTTCCCTCTGTGTTCAAAACTYGCCTCTTCTGGGTTTTCATCTAGATAATTATAACATCATTTTTACTACAAAGTAAAATACAATTTTTTTCTTTACCCTTTATTGAAAGTGTGCACAGTGGAAAAAAACTTGGCTTATTTTTCTGAATGACCCAATTTAAATTCAATCCTGTCARATCCTGTATTTCTCCACATTTCAGACATCAAAAGAAGCGGCTTCTATTTACTGATTCTTCTCCAATCTTGTACACCCATAAATGCTTTACTTACTCTTCATATTCCTTGGGAGCTCYTCATCCCATTTAACCGCCTTTGTCTTCAGTGGCTTCTCTTGCAACACACTCCCCCTCCCATCTTTATCTTACTTGTGGTCAAGTGTCAGTACTGGTTTGACACCTCACACTTGGGAAAAACATCATGCTTTGTCTCACTGAGCTCCTTGATTTACTTCACTTCCTTAGATTACAGAAGTTTATTTAAGTGCCCTCTTTCCAGAACCATTTTTTCTTTTGTTTAGCTTAAATCAAGACCAGTGTTACTGTTGTGTTTTTAAGAAAAGGTGATTTAGAACATAACTATTTATCTGCATCTTGATTTCCTGACCTATCAGGGGAGCAGGAAGATATATATAGAACCAGTCAGTTATAATATCCAGGAAAATCTATTCTCTTTCATCACAGTGGCATTTGGCTCCTCCTGCTTCCATTAAGGTACCTGACGATCAAGCGTCCCAATACATTTTCAGTAACGGGCTACTTAACAGCACTTCTAAGACCTGTGCTCACATTTGCCAGAGACAGGAAGAATATTAAATATTCACAGACCTACTACAGGAAAATGAAAGGTAAGACAAAGTGCTTTCCACTTCAGTGATTTTTTTTAATGCACTTTACTTTTTCTCCATTGCACTGTTATAACTAGTACTATCCAGTAAATGTCCCTTTCATTTCTATCCTTCTAGTACAATACATATTTTGCAGTTCCAGCTGTGAATGCTTTCCTTCTACCTCTGCCATGTTTCTATCTTTGTTGCAATTTCCAGATCAATACTCTGCAACAGTAATTCAAGTCACTTTGTTCTCTTGCTCAGGCTGCTACTGCTATTTATAYACATTTAAGCTCTTAGTTATGTGAGTTTATTGTATTAGGCATAATTTTTTCCACTAAGCTCTTACTCTTTACCAGACTTGCCCATTACAACACTTTTCTCCTTACTGATAATCCATTACAAAGTATGGTTGCACTCTTACTCAAAACTGGAACATTCCTTTAGTATTCTTCCCTTCTGTCTCAGTTTAATACTTTTTAACTACAGCAGCATCTTGCCAAWGAGTATTTTCTCTGGCATTACCTTGTGTTGGAGAGGACTTTTCCCCCTTTCCTTCCCTTCTCCCTGCTCCCCCTTAAGTGACAAACTGCAGGCCATCAAAAGGACACCCCTACTAATCATCCACACTTCAGCAGTGCTGTTGCTTAACCCCTGTGGGCTGCTCAGCATCAGACACTCCAGTTGCTTCCTCCCAAAGTGGAATGATGGGAAGAATCCAAAGAAGAAAAGCGAGAAAARTTGAGATAAAGATGGTTAATCAGGCAAGGCAAAAACCACACACAAATCAAAACAAAGAATTCTCCCACTACCTTCCTGCTGGCAGGCAGGTGTTCAGCCATTCTAAAGTCAGCAGGGCTCTGTCAGCTGCAACAGTGATTTGGAAAGATAGCACTCTCACTCAGAGTTTGCCCCTTCCTTCTTCCTCCCCAAGCTTTACAAGCTGACCATGACACCAAACTGAGTGGGATGTCCCTTGGGTCAGCTGTGTCAGATGTGTCCCCTCCCAAATTCCTGTTGCACCTCCAGCATTGCTAGTTGAGTGGGCTGAGAAGGAAAGGCCTTGGCTCTGGGTCAGCACTGCTCAGCAATAACTAGAACACCTCTACAKATATTAACAACACTGTTTCCAGCACAAATCCAAAACACAGCCCCATACCAGCTACTATGAAGAAATTAACTACTCCAGCCCAAACTAGTACAGTAAGTACTTGATTCATTCTCTGGCTTGCTCTGTTTTACTGTATCTTTGTTCTCTTCCACTAGGAATTGGAGCTATTTCAGGTAGAACTGCCTGGAGTTCCCACAATTCAGCACTGATATCCCCGACAGGCCCCATGAGGCATCTCGTATTATCTTTGACACTGAGTTGAAGTATGCAAAGTGATTCACATTATCTTTGACAATGATTCAAAATTAATCAGGAAGTAATTTCTTCATTGCAATCAAAACCTTACCAGACTCAGGTTTACATTCTACACTCATGCCCAGAAATAAGTTCATAATCCTATTTTTCAGCATCTGCTCTTATTATGGGACCATGAACTTTCCTAGGGGACTAAAAACCTCACTCAGGTGCTTACTTCAGTCCTGAGATGCACTTGACATGCAACTTCAGCCACTTCCTTTCCAGTCTGCTTTCTTTGAAGGTCTGTATGTCCATCCTGCACAGTGTTCTGTGCATTACCATCCCTCTGGGAGAAATCCCAAGCTATYTGCAATGGCTTCTCTCCACAGTACCCACCGCACAGGGTAGGTAACACAAGCCTACAAACAAACAGCATTTGTTATTTCACAGTGAGCCTTGAACGTTGCAAGGCTCTTCACGCARTTTACAAAATCATATGAAGCACTGACTCTTTATATGGAAGATGCCACAACAAACTGGTATATAACCTACTCAGTTAGTGACTTTTTGGAAAGACCTACTCATTAGTATTCTTTTGGAAATAGGTATTATTCCTGCTTCTACATATGCAATAAAAATGACAACAAAGGACTGGAATGTACCACCCGATCCACAAAGCACAGCCTGCTGCAACTGCACACCAGAACACCGGAAATCTTCAGAGGAAAAGCACTTTTTCTTTTTACAAAAGCACTTTACAGCTCTCCTGCATGCTACAACCAAACATCTGCATATCCTCTGAATGCAACCACACTGAAATGTGCAGGAAACACACAGGTCAGGTTTTCTTCAATGCTGTTACTGCAARGAACGACACCGAGCTCAGCCAGAAATAAAGCTCAGGGCGCAGACGACGAGCCGCGTACCTGTATCATTTCCACCATCTCCGCGGTGATGATGTCTTTCTCTACCATGTGCTCCACCAGCACATTCAACACCAGCTGCTTGGCCAGCATCACCCGGTTCTTCTTGAGCGCTTCCTGGTGGCACCGCTGCATGCCGCACGCCGCCAGCATCCTGGGAGGCGCGGGGACAGCAGGGCAGAGCGCCGCGGCGAGGAGCCACCCGTACCCCGCTGCCGGCTCTCGGCTCTCGGCTCGGGAGGGACCGGAGCGACCCCCGGGCCGCGGCCGCCGCCTGACGACGGGCGGAAAGGAGCGCGAGCCGTCCCGCCTTTTCCCGGCGGCCCCCGCGATTCAAACCGCCGGACGCGCTTCCCGCCGTCACGTGACCGCCGCGCGCGCCAGCGCTCTCCCGCCTCTTCCTGCCCTGAGGGGGTCGGGCCGGCAGGGGGGGTTAGCGGGGTTGCGGCTTTCCTGGGAAAAATACCGCCTCTGGCCCTTGGGGTTTTTTTTCCATTTTAGTTTTTTACCTCTATTGACATCGGTTTCTGCGGAAATCRGCTCTAATCGGAAAAGATAACGTGCTGTAGTTAAGAGGGATGGAGAAAGGGAGCACACGGGATGTGCAGGGAAATAGGAAGGGAAATAGGAAGGGAACATCAAGTGAGCATCCTAGCAAAAGCAAATTCACAGCTCTCATTACAGAATCRTGGCATCAGTTGGAAAAATCAGTAGGAAAAACCTGTGAGATCACAAAGYCCAACTTTTGACTGAACACCACCATGCCACTTAGACCATGGCACTGAGTGCCACATCCAGTCTTTTCCTTAAACACCTCYGGGGACAGTGACTCCACCRTCTCCCTGGACAGCCCATTCCAATGCTTGACATTGGAGAAGAAATAGCAATTCATCCTGATGTCCAGCCTGAACCTCCCCTGGCTCAGCTTGAGGCTAATTCCTCTGGTCCTGTTGCTCATTGCCTGGGAGAAGAGACAAACCCCATCTGGCTACAATCTCGGAGTTGTAAAGAGCGATAAGGTCTCCCCTGGGCCTTCACCAGGCTAAACACCCCCAGCTCCCTCAGCTGCTCCTCAAGGACTTACAAAAAAGTCACATGAGGCTTCAGATGGTTGTCCCCTTGTGCACAGGAATTCTACATTCTAAAGCTCAAGACAAGTCCAAAGGCTTGAAAACCCTTACAAAGGCTGAAGACAAAATTGTAGTGATCATAACTGGTTACATTTCTGATCTTTGTTTTGGCTAGTTTTTAGTCTGYGCTGGTCACCTGAATTTCTTCCTRACTTCTGGCAGTTTGGTGCACTCAGGAAGATCCTGAGTTGCCCAGTTTATGACTCAAAGTTTCTATGCTGGTGTCACATACTTATGACACCTTTTGATGGTTTTTCCTTTCTTTTCCATTAGCAGATACARGAGGGAAATGCAAGTAGTGTTTGGCATTAAAGACATCACATTGCTTTTATAATCAAGTTTGTCTCTTGTAATACTTCCATGATAGGGGCATCAYAATTGCTTCATCAATAATCTAGCTGTAGATTCAGGAATGGAAGTCCTCTCTTTTTTTCTCAGCCAAGATTATCAAATAAGCAGAATGCAAGCAAAAGCATGGCTTTGTGGAGTGTTCCTTTTGGGAGGAAAAATTAATGATGCCACCAGGAAATTTTAATGCAGTCCTGTTTATTTATAAACAACATAAAAGGGTTTTTTTTTCTTTGAATTGTAAAGAAACAAACCATAAGAAATAATTTATTTGCTTCTAGCATATGATTTGATAGTTCCTCATATGAATTAAAGATGCAGTCATATGGGCAAGACTGTGATGATTACTGCTCTCCTTCACAGGAGATTCGGACCACCATTTTTATTTTTTTAATTTGGACATTCACCAGATGCAAACACATCTCTCTGCATGCTGCAGACCACTATGACACTGCAGAGCTGCTCAGTTTAGCTCACTCACTTAAAAAGGCACAGCATCAGTGAGAGTTAGAATCTGCCTACAGCCTAGAGCCATCATGATGAAAGCCACAGCCTTGTGAGTGCTGTCCTCAGGTGCTCTCTGCTGCAGCTGTGGCATCAGTAGACAGACTGGACCTTTCCAGTGCCCACAGAGACCTCRAGGAGCTTTGGCCTTTCTGTGCAGGTGCTTGCCATGATGACAATAAAGTATCTCAAGCCATCTGTTAGAGTACATCTGTAGTAGAGCAGAGATGTACACCCTGATGTAGRGCCATGAAAACTAGCAGTCCATGCAGAGATGCTTACAGGTGTATGCATCCCATTGCTGGCCTCTCTTACCGGGGGAGAGCTTATCTCCATCCACCACTGGCTGAGTGTGATACCAACTTTGTGAAAAATAGAAGTCATTTGATGCATGCCATCATCTTTTGGACCCTAAGTGGCAGGTATCAGGTGGTACCAGCTTCCACATGCRGTCAGCCCCCCTTCCTTCAGTCACACTCCCATGTAGCACAGCTGAGGAAGTGGACAAGGTGTGGCAGATGAACAATAAAAAACAGCTCAGACCATAAATTTGTGTTGCCGCAGAACAACTGGGGGAGCACAGGCTTGTCTTTTCTGTAGGAATTTCAGGGTGGCTGATGACCACGCAGCACTCAGCAGTATTGCTGTTTACAATGGACAGGCAGAACCTGCTTAGAGTTGTTTCTATTCCTCCACTTTCCCAGGCAGATTCTTCTGGCTTCTTCAGAYGTCCTTTGGCAATCTTGTCTCCTCATGATTTACTTCTCCTCTCCCTAAAGGTGTATCTCCAGTTTGAGAATGTTGTTGTACATAACACAACTTTCCTCGGTGGTTTTATGTATCTGCCAAGACAAAGCAGTGTGGTATTGCATTGATTTATATTTTGTGCAAAAATATTGCAGTAACATCAGAAGCTRTGTCTGTAGTTCAACTCCGGTTCAGAGAATGGTGGGACAAACATTTACAGTTTCAGGCATAAAAAATCKCAGCCATTTTACCTTCCTTCTAGGAGCATCCTGTATTGGGGKGAAGGTTTGGTTCTGTATTCATGGAAGGTGAAATCAATCCTAATGTGGAGGGCTGGTGAGCATCTTCAAAGACCTCATCACTGATGGCAGTCTCGTAAGCAGGTGGTGGAGTGAGTGGCTCCAGTGGTTCAAACCTATCTTGGCTATCTTTCTCCTCATGGATGTCTGAAACAAACCGCTGCAGTCTTGGGGGCAGCACCAGCTGCAGCTGCATCCTGGAGCCCATGTGTGTCTCTGAGCTGTGCCTCGTGTCTGGAGGCACTGGCATCCGCAGACCTTCCCCCACAATCTCTTGTTGGGCAGAGGATTCAATAACTACGTTGTAGGGGGGAGGCTCACTCAGCGGTGAGGGCACCAAGCCCGGGTTGGATGTAATTGTCCATATTGCTGGAGCTGACATGGTCAYCACCTCCTCATAGGTGGGCGCTTCATAGGCAGCATTCACCCTGTGCCAGAGAGGAATCACAGATACACTCGTTATTTGGCTGCTTAGTTTATGTTTGCAGTACAGACCATGGACTATAGAGACCATGCTACCATCAGCAAATGGATGGGACTGAGACAGGGTATCTCATGTGGTATTACTGTGTGGGATATTTTGCCCCTGGATCAGCTCAACTGTCCAGCCAACTTAATGTCTTTCTTACTGGTACAGAAAATAGCTCATGTGACCATTTTCTCACACTCCCCAGCGTAAGTGAAGCTACCCACAGTGTTCAGTTCAGTGTCCTAGGCTTCACATGATGTCCTTCTACCAGTTAAAATTTGTTACTAAGGATTGCTAACTACTAGTTGYCTCATGGAATAAAACAGGACCTCATTTTTTTAATACATTAGCTTAATGTYCATCCATTCTTAAGAAGTGGAGAAAATTAAGTATTTTCATTTAGTTTAAACAAGGACTAATTATTCTGTGTTGGAAAAAAATAATCTGCAAAGAAAAAATGTTAGAGACATTTTCCTTTTCAGGTCATATTTTAAAGTAAAAATATRCTAGTTTTCTTCAAGTATGCCCCCAAACTAGCAAGGCCCAATATAGACTTCATTTTATATAGTCTTTCTAAAAATAAACACTGTATTTGAGAATGTCAAGTCATTTATGCATGTGGATAGTGATTATCTGGATTATACAAGGAAGCAAGGCTACAAATAAAGTTAAACTCTTCAATTGCAGTAGGCAAACTGGAGTTAAATTAGTTGATGCTGAGAACCTGCAAATGTACATGAAGCCAAAATGAAGTGGCCAAATTCAGAGCCTCTCAAAATCAGCGGTTTTATTAGCATAAAGTTGGAATTTTAAGAGTGGAAACACACCCAGTTACAGGTTTCTCTTAAAGTTTGCCAAGAAGCAGTTGCTCTGGAGATAAGATTTATAGAGTTAAACCCAAATAAGATTCAGTATTGCTTCAGCGTTTTTTCTTTTTCCTTGTCTGACTCATTGTTTGGCAAGCCTTGATTACTCAAAGAAAAATAAAATGGGCCTGGATCAGTTTAACATTGGCAAGTTTTAGTGGACCAGTTCCCAGGRGGAAGAAAATACATCTTAGGAAAGATACATAGAAAGGACATGYGGGGCACTGACATTTGCAACCTCCACGTCAATAAGGAGAGAAAACCACCTGAAAAGACCTTWTGTCTTTGGGAATGGAGCCTGTGTTTGGTGCCTCAGGGGAAGGGCAGCAAAAGAGTGCGTAAAATGGCTATGAGTGAGGTGAGAGAGTTAAAGAGGAGTAACCAGGTTGCTGCTTACCCTGCTTGGCTTTGCCTGTTTGGAGGTATTTCATTTGCGTCATGCCGGTGTTGATTCCTCAGGTAACACTCGACAAACACACTCAGCAAATAGCCGACCAGGCACACTCCCCCTACCCCGAGGAAGAAATAGCCTACTGGGTTGATGTTAGAGGAAATGGCCAGCATCGTAACCCCRATGAGAAGAGCAGCAGTGAACAGAAGCAGCAAGGTTTGACGGATGTTCTTCCAGCGTGTCTCTAACCACATGGCAGAAGGGATGGCAGTGGCAGGCARTTGAGAACAGATGGGCACTTAAAGGAACAGGCATCTGTGGAAGATGGAACAGTTTTTTCAACATGAAGCATGAGCATATAAACACATTTATAYGTATTGTGACCAAAGTAAGAATATACATACTTGAGTACATACATACATACATCATAAGCCTGGGAAATCTGTGCACACCAATGTAAACATACTAGAATTTCCTGTGTGCGTGCATATTGAATAGTGAGAATGCTTGGACACACAGTTACAAAACATAAAATGCATGAAGAGACCATCAGCATTTATTAGGCATATCTAACTAAAATGGGCTGGCTTAAAAGGGATGTAAATTGAGGTTACTGTGAAAGCAAGACACAGAATAACTTTAAGAGTTAATTCTGGGACATTTGTGGCTTGCGTAATCAAAATTCAAATACTCATTCAGATCCCAGAAGGAAAGCAACCTTAATGGGTCTCTGCCCCGGTAAACTGAGCATCTAACTTCAGTGTCGTGCTGGAGCAGGAATGTAACTTTAAGTTCTGGATATAGCTAGGGTATGTGTGTTTTTGTAAAATATAAGCATTTATTTGAGTATTTGCCTGTATCCTCAGTTCCTTCTCTGCTGATGTGCTTTTTTTTTTTTTTTCTCTGTTCTCAGACATGAGAGGCTTTCCTGTCCCCCATTCCAAACCSCAATTCTGTGAGGGAGATAGCAGTTGTCAGTGTGTGGAGTCAATATAGAATGAACACCTGGGATCTGTGGTATTCAAGAATACCATCCTTAAGGAGCTGTCGTGCACGTGTTGTACTAACCTACATCTATCCCACTGTTTTGGTGAAGACCTGTTTGAAGGAAAAAAGCATGACACAAAGGGCATATTTTTTATGAATATGCATCTTCCAACAAATACATAGTTTTATATAGCTCCATATTACATTGTGTGCTTTCTCCTTGTTACAGCAAAAATAGTTAAATCATATAAGCAAAAGAAACACATTTTTTCAGCATCTACTTACCAGAAACAGGTTTCGGTAGGTACAAGCAGTCATGTTTTAACTTCTCTCTTCATCACAAGGAAAAATGTTCMCTGCTGCTTGCTTCCCGTTCTGACCCGAGGATAGAACACCAGATAAAACTCTCTCTTCCTCCTTTAGAGTTCTTTGGTATGGAAACAATGAAGATCTCTTTCGAAAATGAAAGTTGGAAACTAGTGAATATGGGAAGACACCAAATGATGGGAAGATCCCATTGTACAAGTCTAGTGTGGGAAAGTAGAATCTCTGTTTTCCAGGTTCTGAATCCAAAGCAATTTCTAGACGATCACATACCTTCTACTCTTTTGCAGCTCTTCTCCGTCTGTCCCACAAAAGCAGGAAACTCATTAGGAAAGAGGGCGGAGTGAGCAGTGGGGGAGTGCTTACCTGTGTCGTATCTGCTTGGTCTGCTTTACTTTAACGAGAGAAACTGAAAATTCTGGGTTTTTCCCCACATAGCAAAGGAATCTTGATCTCTGCCTCACAAAGCAGGAACTACTGCCTGCCCAGCCCACATCACATGGCCCACCCATATGACTTCTGTAAAATGTAAATTCATACATTTTTCCTGATCAAGTGCTGTTTGTCAGACATTGTTGACATTTGAAAATGGTTTTATGTCCTCTTTGCTTTTACAAACAAAAGGGGGGAAAAAGGGGACAAAGAGGGTATTATTTCACAGAGGGCTGAGTTAAAAAAAAAAAACCCGTTTTTGCTCCCTGATCTATCTGGGAGTGAGAAGTAATAATAAGCAACAGAACTGAATTAGGTACAGAGTTACTTCTGTGATCTGAACCTTTAATGTGTCTGAAAATTAGAATAGAATAGAATAGAATAGAATAGAATAGAATAGAATAGAATAGAATAGAATAGAATAGAATAGAATAGAATAGAATAATTTCAGTTGGAAGGGACCTGCACCTGGCCCAACTCCCCACCTGCTTCAGGGCTGACCAGAAGCTATAGCATGTTATTAGGGGCATTATCCAAATGCCTCTTAAACACTGACARGCTTGAGGTATTGACCACYTCTCTGTTCCAGTGTCTGACCACCCTCTAGGTAAAGGAATGTTTCCCAATATCTCCTGACACAGCTTTGAATCATCTGCACTTGTCCCATCACTGGATCCCAGGGAGAAGGGATCAGCACCTCCCTCTACCCTATCCCTCCTCGGGGAGCTGCAGAGAGCAAGGGGATCACCCCTCAGCCTCCTTTTTTCCTAAACTGGACAAATCCAGGGCTTTCAGCCCCTCCTCACAGGACACAGCTGCCAGCCCTTCCACCAGCTTTGTTGCCCTCCTCTGCTCACATTCCAGGACTTTCACACCCCTCTGAAATGGTGGGGCCCAGAACTGCTCCCAGGCACTCCGGGTGCGGCTGCACCAACACTCCCACGAGTATTTCTCTATTAACAAATAGCAAGTCCAGGAGGGTGTCTTTCTTAGTTGTCACACTGAGTATCTGTGACAAGAAGTTATCTCCTACAAACTKCAGGAATTTCCTTAATCTGCTCATTCAAGCAATTTGTTATTCTGAGCTGATGTCTGGGAAGTTGGAATCTTCTATAAGGACAAGGGCTGCTGATCCAGAGATTTCTCTTAAATGCCTAAAGAAGAACTCATCAGTGCTTACCTCACTGTAAATTCTTGAACACTACAGGATGATTATCCCCAGGAGMAGGCTGCAGCTCATGGTTGTCTGTAACAGGAAGATGTCCCACTGCTAAATGTTTATTAATAGTATTTAGTTTGGAAGTTTGGGCCAACAAGAATTGCATGAGGTTTAACAAAGATAAATGTAAAGTCCTGCAGGGACAGAATAATCCCAAGCAGCAGTACAGGCTGCTTGTACCAGACTGACTGGGATGTAGCTCTGCTGAAATAAACTTGGTGGACATGATGAAATGGGTGCTCAACAGGAGTCAGCAATGTGCTCTTGAAGCAACGAAAGCAAACTGTGCCCTGGCTGCATCAGTAAGAGGGTAACCAACAGATCAAGGGAAGGATTACTCTATGCAGCACTTGTTAAAGCACATCTGAAACATTGTGTACAGTTTCAGTACCCCCAGTTTTTGCATGGTCTGAAAAATTGGATATTGTCTGGTGAATGCTTTGGGGATTGGAGAACTCTGACAACTTAAGAGGCTGGATTTGTACACTCTAGAGGAAAGAAAGCTTGGGCGGGTGGTGAGGGTCTACTCACAGTTTTCCAATAGTAGCAGGTAGTTACAGAGAGGAGGGAGGTAGTCTTCATGAGGCTACATGGTGACAAGAGGCAACAGGAAAAAGGGTAAGTGCATCTAGATATAMAAAAACAGTCTTTCATGTGAGCAAAATAGCAAAATGCTATTACTTGCCCAAAGTAGTGGAGGAATGCTCTTGGCTGGAAATATTAAAGACAGAGCTGAGTCCAGGGACCAGCTTTAAGTAAGGGATTGATTGTACCAGATCACCTGCCCTTCTAGCCTAGACTTGTCAATGTTTCTATGTTTTGAATATTCACTCCTTATAATTGCCTTTTTGACTGCTGACAGATAAAGGATCTTTAGCTTTGATTGTTATCCATTCTTTGCTTTCAAGAGAATTCTTTTGAAGATGGCAGACTTAACACCCACATAAAGGGGAGAAAGTCAGGATTCTGGTGTGTAGTATGTCATTATGCAAGACCATTATTTAGATTGAAAATACGATTTCCATTTTGGGATTGCCTGGTGTTGAAAACAACTGCTAAGGAAGATTTGAGAAAACTCTTTTGACAGCTTCTACACAGGCATCATGACTGACCYATGGTAGAATCTGCACGTGTCAGTGCTAACAGCAGCTTTCTTCTAACCAGTGTAGCTGGTGGTTGTTAGAACCATTCCTTAGAGATAAAAAATTTATGTCCTACTGATTTGAGAAGGTAATTAAAATGATTCCTCCTGCCTGTTCTCCATTTCCTCCTGTCCTCCTTGCAGTGATTCAGTGCTCAGGTGATCTCTTGCTGAGCCAGCCCAGCTGTCTTAGCTAGTGGGGAAGTATTTACATTTTTCCAAAGTGAATTTAGTGGGCTTAATCTAGTCCCTAAAGTATCATCTAACYATTAGTTCCCCATTAAAGGAAAGCAATAGGAATGCATAGCCAGAGTGGTGGAGGAGAAGAGACGAAGAGTGGGAATAATTTCCAGGGGTGTAGTGGTTGTCATTTGAGTGACTTAGCCCAAACTGTTGGAGCAGAAGGAAATTCTTTCTTCTTTGATAGAATAAGCCCCACAGGAAGGCATAGAATCTGAGACCCATTTTTTACTCAGRAAAGCCTGTTAGATATATAATTTATTTCCAGCTCAGCCTGATGACTTTAGACAACTCCCAGCTCTGGTATGTACACTTACTGTCCAAATGCCCCAACAATCTTACCATTATTGAAACCCCCTTGTAGTTCCTACAGAAGATACTTAAGCTGTGCGGAGAGAGCTGAGGAATTTTGCTTGTCTGCACATTCTCCTGTGGGGAGTAGGCACTGCTTTGGGATTAGATGATCTTGTTAAGTTAGTAGAAAGTAAAAAAGGTGAAAAAAATTATTTCCTTATTTGGTGGAAAATTGCTTCTGTGATTGCAAAGGCTGTATTTGATTTGTGGATAGATAGAAAGATGTTAATTTTGCTGAAAATCTGTCTTAATTTTGATTGGTGCACCATTTTTAAAAATAGTTTTAGACATAGTTATGAAATATTGGGATAAAAAGGCTGGAAATGGTGTCTCTGCTGTTGTTTGTATTGCATCAGTTTATTTCTGGTGAAATTCAGAGTTCAGTAACTCCTGTAGGTTTTGCCCATGCAGTTTGTGGAGGACTGTGCTRAATCCTTGGGAATTGTTTTTATTCAGTTACAAGGACACATAAAACAACAATGCTTTCTGATGCAGCTCTGAATGCATCAGAGCTTGAAGATGTTAATGAATGTGATGTGTGCTGCTTTGTGGGTCTAAGGATACAAAGCAGGATGAATTTCTATGGACTGACCATTGCAATATGATTTCAAGCAGTACAGTGCTTTTTAGCATTTCTGGACTTCTGAATTTTTTGTCTGTCTGCTGTTTTGGTTCCCTCTGTAGTCTGGTTCAGACTGTCATTGGTTACAGTGTGTAGGGATCCATAACAAAGCAAAATTGATCACACAGCTGCATCAAGAAGTTCTGGTGATGACAAGATTCAGAAAATGCAGGGGGACTTGGATAAGGCCTGATAACACTATGCAGGGTTTGTTAAACAAGCTGTTGAAGTCTGGGAGAGTAAACAGGGACATTTATACTGCCATCCTAAACTGTCTCCTTTTCATGTGCAGTGGAGACTTTTTTTTCAGAAAGCTTTCTGTTCTCTGTTGTTCAGTCATGCTCTGGGTACCTTAATTTAGCAGTAGATTTCTTTTGTTAGGACCAAGGATTTCCTTTTTCATATTCTTTGTTTCTTCCAGTATCTCGTCAGCCTCCAGGAAGCATTTCACCTTTCCCCTGTTTCATCTCACTATCTACTCAACCTCTTGCCCTGACTGCTACTAATTAACTTAGTACCTACAGTAAGCTCACTTATCAGCTCGGTATGCAGAGAAGCTTGCTTTATTCCCAAGGGCTTGTGACGTACACACCACGGCACGATTAATCTCACCCTAATCGCTAAATCTATTCTTCCCCACAACTTTGTCCCTAAGCAATTTCTGAGAACCTGAGCAAGTGCTGGGGACAAAGTGTTACTGAATCACCTTTTCCAGTCTTGTCTGCCTCTCCTTTTGTCCCCCAGGTTTTGCATAGTCACTTTTGTGACTAAGCAAATTGCATCATTGTGTTTTATCTACAGATCATGGGGCAGTCATGAGCTCTGGTTGATGTTTCTGGTCAGTATGATGTTTTAGGCAGGAGAAAGCAAAACCCCAAAGAAAGCAAAATGCCTATGCTTGGATATTCAAAAAATATGTGTAACTTCGGGAAACTATTTGTGTTTGACTTGCCACAGGTGAATGGTCCTACATTTCTTTGGAACTGGCCGTCTCTGTTTCCTTCCAGCTTATTCCAGTTCTTACAGGACAATGGTTGAAAGTTATCATATGTGTAGTCACTGAGTGGTGGATTTTTTTTTTTTTTTTTTGGCATAGCTGTTTTCTACCTGCAGTGGCTTTTCTCTGTAGATCAGGGCTGAGATGTGGTCACAGAAGGACTGATATTCCAAGAACTTCTACTGCTGTTAATTCCTTAGCTGTCTGAAGGCTGYCTGAAAAGCATAAATGTACAGAGATTGAGTCAGAGACAAAACCTGTCAGACAGTTATCTTGTGCAGAACTAAAGGATTTCTCTTTTCTGAAAGTGGGGAGTCRTATTAAAGATGTGAAGTGTTTTCAGGGCTATCTGCACCCCTAAAGTTCCAAAGTATTTAAAATTAACAAAGAAACACTTCCTTTTCCTGCCAGGAAAGGAACAGAAAAGTAGTAAGTGTTTACCAAATTGATATGACAGATTTTGTATTCTCTTACAGACTTTT